ATGACCGCAATTTTTCTCCATGAGTATGCGCTTGTTTTCATATATCTTCACACCATGTTCGAGTACTCTACCATGAACACTTCCAAATTAAGCAGTATGAAAAATTGGATTTGTATGGGAGGTGCCATATCCCCTTTTACGATAACCACAATTTTTCGCCATGAGTAGGCGATTGTTTTCATATAACTCCATACCATGTTCGAGTACTCTACCATGAACACTTCCGGAGATATGCAGTATGAAAAATTCGGTTTGTATGGGAGGTGTCACGCCCTTTGCACCTAGCGGTATGAAATATACTTTACATCCGATTCTCATACCTACCATATATGCACAAAAATTTAATTTTAGGAGGAGTTCGACCAGTAACGATACTTTTATATATTAGATGAAGTCGGTTGTTTTTTGCTTAAAAATTACTTGTATTACTTACAGTAACACAACTTTTTTAGTAATAAGCGGATTGCTTTGAAATTTGCAGCATTTGGTTCTTATATAAGAAATAAAGCATTTTTCTTAGTTGGCCCTGTAACCATCTAAGCGATTTTGGCCGAGTTCAACAAAGCCCGCCAGTCGTTTCTCTTCTGTGCCAATTGACGCCAATTGGAAATGCCAAGTGAAGCCAAGTTCTTCTCTGCTTGGTCTTTCCATGGCGGGTTCCGAGATGAATACTTTCAGAGCTGGAGCGTCGGTGTATATTCGAACGACATGACCAAGCCAGCGGAGCCGCTGTATTTTAATTCGCTGCACTATGACCCTGTCGTTGTAAAGCTCATATAGCTCATCGTTCCATTGTCAGCGGTACTCACCATCGCCATCGCCAACGCGTAAAGGTCCGTAAATCTTCCGCAAAATCTTTATTTCGAATACTCCAAGAGCCCCCTCACCGGATGTTGTCATTGTTCATGCATCTGCGCCATATACCAGCACGGACAAAATGAGTGCCTTATATATTCGGACCTCGAGAGAGGGCTTTACTTCTAAATTACCTACTCAGTCCAAAGCAGCACTTGTTTGCACGAGTGATTCAGCGTTGGAATCAGATGCTGTCATTATTGTCGTTGTTAATGCTGGTTCCTGAGTAAACAAAATTCTCTACTTTCTCGAAATTATAACTGTCAAGATGGCGTTGGTGCCAAGGCGCATATGCACTGACTGTTTGTTTGTAGAAGTTTTTCATACCGATGAAGTCGATGTCATCGGCATACGCCAGAAATTGCACGCTCCTGTAGTAAATTGCTCCTGAGCGGTTCAGTTCTGCTGCTCTTATTGTCCTCTCCAACATCAGATTAAAGAATATCATTGAAGAGCATTGGAGGCGAGTAAAATTATAAGGCGGTAATATTCCAAGCGGAATCATAGAAAACTTAGAGAGTATTCCCAACGTATGAAAATCTTTATTAAAAATAAGGGAGTCTCCACAATCCTGTTGATATCAACCTTCTAAAATCTCAAAACAATAAAGATCAAAACTGGGTGAATTGAGTTGCCTTATGAAGACGACCGACCACTTTGAATGTCAACTTTATTATGCCCATCAGTTCACTGTATAAAGTTGCTTACAAGCTATGTTATTTATGTACATACATTAGGGCGGGTCAATTTGTATGGATTGATTTTTGACGTAGAATACGTCTTACCTTAAGGTATGGGGGCTATGTTCAAATGTTGTAGTTGTAATTTTTAGAGCTTCACAAAAACGCTTATTGCACGAGAACTAATAAAGCGATTTCAAAGAAAAGTGTGGCGTTTCAAAGATAAAATTCCAAACCTGTCGACAGATTCATTTTTGTAAATAACCAATTCGGTTTCTGTCGTAAAAACAACGGTAAACATTGCCTTATTTTGGGGTCAATTTTGAGCCTTTAAAGTGCTCTAGCAACTTATTGCTGGCATATATAACTTTCATTTTCGGGATATAGGTTCTTTGGAGCAGTAGAAATATTATCGGGTACAAATTTTATATAAATTTAACAAATATTGAGCATTTTAAGGCAAAAAATTGTTGAAAAAATTTGCAAATTTTTTTCATTACCAAATTCTCGAAAACCGCTCGAATGATTTTGTTTTTGTTTTCTTTAATCAAAAATTCAAGAGTTTTCCTTTCGTTTGGTATATGGGAAGTATTGGTTGATATCTTCTATATATGTTTATTTTATTCAAATATATGGGCATAAATGATTTTCCATACAAAATCACCTCGTCATCATTTTGCAAACACGTGCATATGTTGGAAGTGTGGGAAGGAGACAAAAAGTATGTATGCGTATGTAATGCGGCTTTTGATAAACAGAGGCGCGCTATTTATAACCTAATCGCAGCGTGTGTACATATGTAAATACATACATACGTACATATGTTGATTGCAGTTAATGTGGATCTGTTTCTATTTTTAGTAATCTATGTATGTCTATACATACATATGTACATACATATTATATATGTACATACATATATGAACACATGTATGCATAATACGCGAAGACTTTTCGAAGTGAAACAACATTTAGAAAAAGTCCAGTCCAAGAATAAAAGTAAAGGTGAGGACGTACATAGATAAAGAAAAGGATAAAGGCCAAGGTAAAAATAAACACAAAAACAAAGTTGAGTAAAGATAAAGGCAAACATGAAGACCAAGGTAAATTTAAACACTTTACTTATATGTATAAGTGCAAAGGTGAAGGGGAATATGTATATGAAGAATATGATAAACATAAAAATAAAAACAAAGATAAATATAAAGAAAAAGATGCGGATGAGGATACCGATAATAGTATAGATGAAGATAGAGGAAGAAAGATTAAAATAAAGGTAGTTGTAGAGAAAAGGATATAGATAAAGGCACAGAGACTCAATCTCGGAGCTATTTCGGGATTTTAGGGATTCTCGGGACTTATCGATATAATCGATATTTTGTTGGTTTTTCTTAGTGTGTGATTTCGTTTTTGACTTGGATATGCTCTTAACCATACCACGTATTCTACGTTTAAATATAGCGGCTGTATCTCCGATACAGCCTGCAGACCAAGACGAAGGCGCTGGACTGTTCCTTTTTTCGACATTGTTCCTAGCATATTCGGATTCTTCAGAGAATTCTAAGAAAAAAATTCCTCCAGACCATAGCTCTAAAGCCAATTTCGAGCCTGCGCATTTTTAAAAGAAGATATCTTATATACAAAAATGAATTGCTGTCCGTTAGCCTCGCTAAGACTCGAAAACGGCTTGACCGACTGGAATATTTTTATTTTTTTTGGTTTGTTTTTTATAATATCCGGATGGTTAAAACGAGAAAAAATAGAGAGTTGCCACCTGTTTAAAAATTCAGTATAAGTAAATTAATGACATAAATTAGATATTGCAATATGGGTGTCAAAAGAAAGAGGTTATGAAGGCTTAGAGGCGAAAATATTTTTGAGGGGGGTTGCCACCTGTTTCAGAATTTAATTAAACTAAATTGGTAAGATAAATTAAATATTGCAATATGGGTATCAAATTAAAAAGTTTTAAGAAGGCCTACTACTGAAAATATTTTTAAGTCGA